TAATTGCGTGTAAAGTAAAGTGGGCTCACAATGTGTGCGCGAGTGCTTCGCTGAAAATTAATTGCGCTGCTACTCCACTCTTTATTATTCAAATGTGCAACATTTTTAAAATTACAATCATCCACAAGAGATAATAAAAAGGCCTTTGTGGTAATTACTTGTGTAGTAAAAAATTCAAAAAAATTTAAAAATTTAACATTTCGAAATAAAATGTTGGAAAATTTAACTTAATATTGGACGAATTTTGATGATCAAAAGCCGCTTAATATATATATTATTCAAGAATGACATTAATAGAATTAATTTATGTCCAAATACAGTATGATTATTCAGTATCACGGGAATTGATGATAATCATACATCAGGAAAAATTATTTTGAAATAAGAGTATCAATTTTCATTTACAATATATTAATCGTTCTTCTTTAATTCAAATATAGTAAATCTGTTGATACTGGATCACCACATATTTTCCTAACTCTGATTAGATCCACTATCATATGCAAACAGCATGGCTGCTTTGGTGGCTATTGACTGTTAATGAGTTCACTCAGTTAACCTTTATCCTATCTTTATTTACTTTTTGAATATTAATTCCGTTTCTAATAAATTCAAATTGCCATTGAGAATTAATCATTTCAACATACTCTCTTTATCAATTAAAGCTTCATACAACCCATTACTGCAATATATCCTAGTATTTTTATGAGAATTTCATGCGTAACTAAATTTTTCAATGACAATTGCAAAACTTTTATCCACCGACTATTATTTATTTCTATTTTTATTTGACTTGTTGAAAAGATTTGATCACTGTGTTTCTTTTCACGTTAAATATTTTTCTAAGAAATTCGGCTCAATCCATGCAACAGATGGAGCAAAAAGAAATCTGCTCTTATACTTTGTAACATCTTTGGTCTGCATACAGAACACATGATAAGAGAATATAGCAAGTTGGCTCATGTCTAATGAGGCAAAAGTTTTAGCTACGCCACTATAACAAATCTGCTTCAAGTTTTGAACTGTGAAAGTTTTGCGGCGTGTCTGTATTATTGCAGCGTTAAAATTTGATCTTTCCAACTGTTCCGAACTTCTGTTAAAAGTAATTAATTTTACGATAATTCTCCGTAATTTCACTCAACGCTGATCAAACTGGGCCTAAGACGGCCTGGGATCAGAGGATTTTGAGCATCAAACGCGCGCGGTCTTGTGTTAAATTATTCGACGGCCTCAAATATTTGCCCGCTTCGGGACAAATTCCTGTGAGCTCAAAAGCACACACTAATTATTCCGCCTTAGGCCACCTCTCCAAGTTGCACAACGTCCTGAACTTGCCGAGCGCAATCTTGCTTCACATCTTTTAATCCGTGCCTGGAAGAAAGAGCACTGAGCAAAAGGTACTTTGTCTCTTTCGGCAAAAAGCAGCTCCACACAGATCAATATTTTATTATTCAAGAGAGAGCGCGCGCTCGCCCGCCGGCCGTGAGCGTTTAGCACGAGCAGCCCTCGCGCCTTTCTTCTGCCTTCATCCACCTTGGGCCGACGTGACCCACCCTTCAGACAATGCACCCCTTGTGTCAATGTGCTCGGACCGCGGCGACGCGCCGAACAAGAAAAAACATACACACTCACTCCTTGGCCGAGATTCAAAAGCGGGACGTCTCCGGAATATATAGAACGAGGGAGACAAAGTTCATTATCTCCAAGGCGACTATTTTTAGCGGTTTAACCCTTTCTTTCCACAATTCGTGTCATTGATCTCCTTTGTCAAGTTAAACCTTTTAGATGTTGTTTTTAATTGGGTTGGAAAATTTGAAAAAAAAAAAATACTAATAATTTTCAATTATGATCCATGTTCCTGTTTAGCCACAAAATTTATTTTCTATTAAAAACGTTATTTAAGTCCTGGGATGTTTTGGTCTTCAAAAATTTCTTCTTGAGTTTAAATTTTTATAAAATGTGCTCAGATGTTTCGTCATTTGGAATACACGTCTGCGTTTTCATTTTCACTTTTGGAGTTATTTGTAATTTAACCAATTAAACGAATTAAACAATATGAATTATAAACTGAAAATAATTATAGATCAATAAAAACGTTTAAAGCTCTTAAGAGGCTATAAATTGTGTGTTATATAAAAAATCATTAACTGAACATTAATATATACTAACTTGCTTGCTATATATCTGGGCAAAACTTCTGTTTTTTGACACAAATTGGTTATTCATATGCGACGCGGGATTGAATTTAATCCAATTTCCAATTTCCATTTCCCTTTTATTAAACAATAGCTATGTTTGCTACCGCCATAAATATCCGCAATCGAACGCTTTGAAGTGGCAAACAATTTTTTTTTTGTATTACCACAACATTCGTTTCGCCGTCAGCATTCAGATGCAAATGTTTTCGATTCGCCACACAACAAGAGAGAGTATTTGATTTCACGACACGAAATCCGAATCGCTTTCACGCCGCTTTTTCATTATTTCCGCGCCGAGCTTCAATTTCATTGTGCGTCGCCGAAAAGCAAAGAGAAAAAATGCGCAGCTAAACATACGGTGCCGTCGCTCTTCGAAATGTGATTCAAAATGAAACAGCAGCACACGCACTACCCTCTCAATGATATTAAAAAAAAATGCGAAATCTCTCTGGCTTTTGAATGTTTTTCCCGTGCATTTAGCTGCTGGTGCAAATTTCCGCGTGTCTGAAGCCGCGAAAGCGAGGAAGCCCCCTTTATTATTGATTCCCGGCAGCTCTTTGCAATTATAAGAATGCGCTGCTGAATTTTTTGTATTTTTTATGTATTGTGTAGCTCAAGTATTTATCTCGATCGCGCACAGCGTAATTATATTACTCAACAAAATGTACCGCATTTTTCATCATATTTTTTTAATTAAGCCGCTCGGAAATATGAAGTGCGTTAAACAAAGAGAGGAGATACAAAAAGCTCCTCCTCAACACCACTGTTTTCTGCGGTCGTATTTGGTAAATTAAATTGCGTGCTTCACGATGTGGAAATATTTCTGCGTTTATGCCGCGATATGGTGAATATAGATATCAACAGGTTCATTTGCGCATTTCGCTTGTTGGTCAATATCAATTTTATATTGGTCCCGATTGGCCTTTGACTTTTGGGTGGTGCCTGGTAATGGAAATTTAAATTAAAAAATGAGCATTTGCTTTCCCTTTGTCGATATTTACAATACAATAATTTTTATTTTGCTACTTTCATCAGATTAAGTAAAACATTTTAAATAATTTTTTTAACTACTTTTTTATAATATGCTCAAACATTTCATAAAGATGAAATTTATCCTCCTACAAAGATTAAAAAAAAATTTAATAACAAATAAATAAATCTCATTTTTAATTGGCAGTTTATTATTTTAAAAGTTAAAATTTTGTCGTTTGATGTCATTTCCCATTTCAAAAAGTTTTTATTAATGAGACTGATGAATTTTTATCCTTACATGTATGATCTTGGAACATCTGCAGTGTTCAGAATTCAGAATCGCCCCCGCAAACCATCGCTATGCAACACGCAAGACCTTCCTGACGGGCGAATTGCCTAACTCCATATCAGTCGACGTTATCTAATAAAAGCAAGGCAGCGTACCTTTTCCGCGAAAACTCGTCGGACACGCTCGTCACTCACGTTTTATTATTTCCTCCGGTCTATTTTTGCCCGAGAGAAACAATAGCGGTTCCTGTTCGGGGGGACAAGGCCGTATATTTCCAACTAAAAGTGGCAGTGCAGCGCGGATCCGTTCCGCGAGCTGAATTTTCCAGGGCCGGCAGCTTTTTCTTTCTCTGGCGCGCGCGACCCGAGCTGGGATTTGGCTTCATAAATTGTTTCTGCTCACCCGAGGGAATGCTACATCATGTTTGCAGATAGAGCGGAATCGATCCCGGCAATTTTTGGCGTGAAACTGCCGTCGAACGTTCGCACAAAAAATTATAACGGCCGGTGGAGGTGCTCCTGGTGGTACGCGCAAGCTTATTGTAACAGCCTTAATTAATTTGCTACGGCTTTATTGTGGAGAGCTTAACACGTAAACGAGAACTATACATGGCACATACAAAAATAATTTATAAAATAGTTTTGAATGCTTACAAAATACTACCTTCGAACCCAGATTTGTCATGTGATTAAAATAGTGAAGACAAAATATTTCCAAGAAAATTTGCAAATATAGAGTAAGTTAAATAAGATTAAAAACATTTGAATTTTCTCTCTTTTTGAAAGCAATATTTTCCTGAATATTTTAAGATAAAAAATTGCTCTTGTAGATTCGAGCTCATTGTTTTGAGTTTGATAGAATTTTTAGTATTTACGCTTGATAGTTTGTAAAATTTAATTTAATTTTATTGATATACTGTGAAATTATTTTGAATGATTGACTCCTCTTCTTTTGCTGTCGACCGCATCAAGCCTGAGAGAATCAGCTAGTTCAGTTTTTAAGTATAATTTTGAAAGCTTTGAAAGCTTTTATATTTTGACAATGAAACAAAAGCAAACAGCCATGAAAACTTAATATTCAATGTTTTGATAGGTTAATTTATGTTGAGAAAACGAAAACTAGCTGTTCCTCGATGGAAGAATTAGATTGTTTGTATCATAAGTAATGTTGTAATTTTATACAGAAAAAACGATATCCTGCTATTTACCAAATTCTCTGAACTCTCAAGGAGGAAGCTCATAAATAATTTACGCAGCAAAATATTTTTTAGGAAATTACTTTTTTTATCGTAAGTAAAACCAAACAAAAAATAAAATGTGAAGATAATTATTCATTGAGATATGCTTGATATCCAAACTTCAAAAGGAAATAAAATATTTGATGGAGATTTACAATCTTAAAATCATCGCTCTTTCTCTTCCAAATGGACATTTTTAATAGTTTTCCCTACTTAATCAAAATCTGATGTATTTAATACCTCAGATTTACTTTTTTTATAACTTTAAATTAAAATTAGATCATTAAAACGATCAGGCACTCACTTAACATGGTGTTCTCAACGTCGGAAACGTTTCCATAGGAGGTCCTGCATATCCTCCAGAGACCCGAGTGGCTGGTGAGGAAAAAGCGTTTGGTCTCGTTGATGAAGACGCCGGCGTCGGTAGGCGCCGTCAGCGTGAACCAGTGGTCGGTGCTGACGGCCACGATCCAGAGGAAGACGCAGAGGCCGACGGCCGCCGTGCAGCCGAGCAGAACGCGCCGTTCGAACATGACCTGTTCGTAGACGGCCTGCATGCGGCGCTTCATCCTGGCCGCGCGGCCGTGGCCCTTGGCGTCGCCCGCCTCGCTCTCGGCCATCCTGCGGTCGGACACCACGTGGGTGCCGCACGATCAACAACACGGCATCCGCTCGAGCGGCCGTCTGCACCCCGATTGAGGCTGCGGCGCCCCTCCTGCCGCCGCCGCGCGCGCGACCCCCGATCGCTCGCCCGCCCGCCCGCCCGCCCGACGACCCGCCGAGAGGGGCGCCTGCGAAGAACCAACGTCGGCCCTCTGGAATTCCGTTGCGCCCTCAAGTCTTATCCCCTGTACGGCTCCTCATTTCCATGCAAACCAACTCACGCGAGTTGCGGTTTCATCCTTATCTGGCAAATTGAATTTCTTGAGGCTAACCGCAAGAGGAACTGTTTTTTGCGCCGTTTGATGAGAATGAAAATTTAAGAAGAAAATGGTCTTTGCCAAAATGGAAGAGACGCAGTGTAGAATAAATCTTTGGTTTTCATGTCTTTTTGTAAGCAAATTTGCTAATTTTTTTTTGTTCAAAAAGTATCTTTAAATTTGAGAAGAATAACTTTCAAGTAGACACCGACATATCCAGTTTGTAAATTAAAATCATGGAACTGCGTGACCTTTAACTTTACATTAGACTTATGGAAAACAAAGTTGCAAACTTTCACTTACGATGAACGTACAAACTATAGTCAATAGTCTATGGATGGATACTTGTCGTATTTAACTTCCTCTCAACTCTCAACAAACAGATTATTAAGTAAGAAAAACATTCTCCCTTCTAATGCTCATAAATTTTTGTTTTTTTTATTCATTTTATTTAAGGATGGATTGACAGAAAATATAATTACCTAAATTTCCATTACTTGTCTTGGGAATTTTCGCAGACAATTTTTTTTATATAAATAAAATATGCAGATATTGAGAGACAAAGAGATTTATCATTTTCAAAAATTTTCAACTATACATTCTCATAAAAAATTTTACTGTTACATTTATCCATTTTTAAAAACTTTTTGGTTGTTAAACAGAAGATTTTACTTTTCCAAAATTATTTTATTTTAGGCAAACCGTAGTTGAAATAAAAAAGCCGAAAATCGTACGTAAATTTTTGCTTCAATAACAAAATAAACAAATAGTCACTCAGTGTTTCACTTTTCCATTTTATTCCTCTTTAGTTTACATTAAATCGAAGTACCCATCACATTTCGGCGTGTTTGTATTTCGGAGCAAATATAACTCAAAAGACATAAAGTGAACGTTTTATTTGACGAGACGCGACCATTTTAAGAGGGGCCGCTGGAGTGAGTGGTATTATTCCGTCGGCTGGGCGTGCGGGCTACACGCGTATTTTGCTTTTGGTGTGCACGGCCCAGCCGAAACGGATCAATATATTGTACACATACACAGCGAGGCAAAAAGGCAGCGTGCGCTCGCTCGCTCGCTGCATCATCCGCCAAAGCAGGGCAGCCCTAGCGGCGCAGCGTGCGAGATCGTCGGACCCATTTGCGCCCTTTGTAGTAAAACTACACCCTACTCCGACGGCACCGTGCAAAACAAACCAAATCCAACCCACCTGCCTCCATTCTAACCCACCGACTGCCATGGATTAGGCGACAAAGCACGCGGACGGACTCGGCACTCGTCAGATTTTCTCTTTGTCTCGTCTTTCCAAATTTTTTTTAAAGTCTGCGTTGATTTTTTGTGGAAACAAAAGCTGCTGAAATATTTAAAAGAAGCCTTTTTGAACAAAGGATAAAATCATTGTGTAGTAAAAAAATTCAAAATTTATGGAAATGAAGCTAATAAGAAATTCATGCATTAATTTTTTTTTTTAAATTGTGTTTAATTTTTATTTATATTTTAATAAAAGTCAAATTCTGCGTATCAATTGGACTAAATTGTGCTAGTTTTATAACTAAACTGTTAATTGAAGTTCCAATAATCGCAAAATTAGATTAAAACAGGTTTATCCCTTTGGAATCATTGAAATCCTAAAAAATAAATTAATAGAAATAACAACATAAAGTCTTCGTCACTCCTTTTCCAGTAAAAACGTCCACAGTTTGAAATGTTGGCCCACCGCTGACACCCCATCCATCACCTCTATATTTATCTCTAAATAGACAGTCCCACTTTTATTTTATTTGAAAACCTGGTGTCGGTGCATGTGGTAAGGGTTAAATGTGAGCCGAGAGAGAAAAAACTTTTTCGGAAGAGGTGCAGTTGCGTAGGGAGAAAAGTTTTGGGATTCATCGGAGGCTCTTCCCGAAAACGTCTCTTGCTCCATTGAAAGATCTATTTCGGTGGTCAATAAATCCGCGGGAGAACAGAAGAAAAGGCGCGAGCGAGTACGCTCTGTGTGTATGACGGTCTGGAAATAGCACGTGGAGGCGGGCGAGCGTCGAATTAATTGAAAATCGCGCGTGCATCTGGAGAAAGTTAATTAGCCGGGCGTGAAAAGGAGGGCAGAATTTCACGAAACTTTGTGTGTGCGAGAATAAATCACGGCTCTGTGATGCTTTTCTGGCCGCCTCCAAAATAAAACCGAGACACGGAATTTATATTTCTTTTCGTCGCTCCTCCTTCCTTCTCATAGCGGCCCGCGAATTTATTTGTTTTCTTTTTCCGTGCCATCAAAATTAACCTGCCGCGGAGCGAGAGTTTGTTTGTTTTTGCTTCGTTAGGAGCGAATTTACACAGAGTGGAGCGGTGCTGTGGGACTTCACTTGCGGGACCCTCTTTTAATCAAAACACGTGTCCAAAAACATCTTTTGCTTGTTTTTTTTTCATTGATTTGTTTTGTTTTTATTTTTCAAACGAAAATCTTTATACAGTTCATTTCTTCAAAAGCCTAATTTTAATACTATTTTCTGTTAATTTTTTTCTTCAATTTAAATTTCAATCTGCAAACTTTAAATTGATTATGATTTTTACTAAAATGATATTTTCATTAATACTTATAAGAAATGTAAAATAAAATTTTAAAAATCAAATTTACTTTTACAGTAAAAAAATTAAATCATTACTATTTAATGAACAGTTTATTTTCCTTTTTAAGCTTTTAAAACTAGGAAATAGCATAAAAAGTATAAAATAATTTATACTGTATAATCGTTTATGTAATAATTGTTCCTTTAATTAATTGTTCTTTTAAATGTTTTCATTAAGAATTTCTGATAACATTTTGATGATCTCGCAAATCCTTTCAAATTATGTTCAAATTAGCTAAAAACTAGCCTGATTATGATCACAATTGATATATTATTTATTCTACACTGAAGTCATACGAAAAAAAAAAAATAGAAATTAAAAAAATTGAGCAGAAAGGGTATCATTCAAAACTTTCAATTCTATGGAGCTGGGTTAAATGGGCTGCGCAATTTGGGATTGGGGAATTTGTTCGCCGTTGGGACATATTGCGGGGCGTGAGAATATTGCGTGAGAGGAAAAGGTGTTCCATTATTTTGCTTCCTCAGTATGAGGCGCACCGCAGGCTCAAATAATGCAAAGCTGGCGGCAGGATCAACAGTTGAAACGGAGGAGAAGGACAGGCTCAAAAATGCCACTAGGGTCTGTGGGGCGGTGTTGCATAGCAAAGCGGGGCTCAAAGAGCAAAGGACGATGGCAGAGGTGAATTTGCTTGTCGAGCGCGCCGTTTGATGGAATAAGTGACTAAACTGCTCTACTGCTCGAGAGAGACCATAGCTACGGAAATACTCCCTGGGCACAAAAGAAAGAGACACACGAAGAGCAGAGCAGGCGGGCGTGAGCGAGCGAGCGTTCTCCGATGGCAACAAAAACTTGCTAGAGTGAGTGCCGCGTCTCTATTTTGGTGCGACGAGCTCCACTAATGCTGCCGTAGAACCATCTCATACACCGCCTCTCGATTTGCTCCCCACGGGGGATTATTTAATTAAGACGCACACCGCGCCGACTACACCAATTTTAATTAAAGTTTGGTTTATATAATGCCATTGTTTTCTCAAGAACAGCTTATTTGGGCACAATTAAACTGATCAAACAGGTTTTTAAAATTTTTATATTTTGCCATTCCCATCGTAACTAATTTTTTTTTTATCTCGTTTCAACTCTTCAATATTGATTGAAATAAAAAAATCCATACAGTTGTTATTCTTCTAAATTAATATGTTTCAACAGTGATTTCAAGTGGAAATTGTTAAAAACATTAACAATTTTTGTTAAATTATAATAACTTTTACTACTTTGTTTTAAACAAAACATTATCATTATCATCATTCATTAATAAAAGTTGGTTGTCAGAGATAAATATTAACTAATTTTAAATAATAGAATTCGCTTTTTAAAGTAATACACACAAATTCAATCATTTGTTGAAAGCTAAAAAATTAAGTTCTGGCTAATTTATTATTTCACTTATATAAAATTGCATTGTATATATTTAATGGGCCAAGTGCTTTTACTCACAATCCTCGTGCCATTAATCCCTCAGCAGGCTTAGTTTGTACATGGTTTTGAGTGTCTCGTAGTCGTCGAGCTGTCTGGTGGCAGCGACGGCCGAACGGCTCAACTTACGGGAGGGAGTGCGCAATTGCGATAAGAGTGGGCGACTCTGGCCAGCGGTGGGCTTGGACAGAAAAAAATTCTCTGCAAAGCCGGCTGGTGCTTCAAAGGACACCATCTTCAGAGGCTTTTGGAGCTCTTTTGTTGCGAGCGACTCCGCCTCACCGATCTTCTTAAACGTCTCTCTCATGCGCGCCCACTTGGCGCTCACCTGCCGAGCTGTCACCTGACATGAGAAACGAAAAGGATTAGGCTGCAAACTAAAGTTGAGCGATCACAACTGTCTAATCAATCTTTTAGCCAATTTTTCACCAAATTTAATGTACCTCAATTCCTCGGTCTTGCAAATTTGAGGCGATTAAAATCCACACGTCCTCGTCTGAAGACACGACGCCAAATAAGTATTTGTGTTTTTCATAGGAATTCATCAATTCGAAAATCTCTCCTCGTTGCCATATTCTATGCCCTTTAATTGTGAATAAGTTTTGAAACTTAACTCCGTAAAACTACATTAATGATTTACGATCTACCACTTAAAGAGTCGTAAAAGTACTTCTTCACCCCGCTCCTCCTGAGGCCTCCTATCATTATGTTTCACTTTTCACGATCTTCTGGTTCACACCCAAATCATATTTTCTACAATGTTTACATTTTTGACGACTACCTTTTGTTTCCTAGTAATACACGTAGCGGATCGCGTGACTGCATCAAATTAAGCCACCCCTTGCAGTTATTTCAAAGTAGGCAGAAATTCTCCTCCCGGCGCTCCAAATTGCACCCTCTGACATCTGCCAGTCGTTTCAGAAAATTGTAATTGTGTCAAAATCTTTTCGTGTAATTAAAAAAAATTTGTTTCATATAACTAGCTATAAATATTACAGTTGACATTTAAACAATAAAATAAAATATAATATTTTGATTTAAACTGATATTTACTAAAAAAAAATTTCTCGCACGTCCAGTGAAGATTTTATGAAATTTTTATTGCGCTTCATGAAATTTGCTTCAAGTGTTGGTTTTCCAGTCTCAGTTCCTCCAAAAACGTCTTGTAGCTCACTTCGTTTTTGCTCTTCCTGGGCTTCCTTGCAAACATAAAACCAACAGCCTGTATCAGAAAAAAAAGATACCAAATTATTATCTAAAAAAAACTTAACATTATATTTATCAAACCCCTTCATTTTGAATTTCCAAATTGGCCGGCTGGTTTTCGCAGTCCAAATACCACAACAGGTCCTGGTAATCAACGTCCCCATTGCTGCTGGTTTTTATTCTAAAATTAAAAATTATAAGTTTGATCGTAACTTAAAAAACGAAGCTAGGGCACGTGTCAAATATTTTCGCCAATAGGTCGACAGGCAAAGGCACGGGTAGACTGCGGCAAGCGGCCCAGGCGTTGTTCCTGTCCAGGAAACCCGTTTTTCTGTGATCTCGGTCAATAAGTTCAATTTTGAGAAGGTCGATGTCTTTGAACAACTGGCGTTGCAACAGCGAGTGCACTTTTGACCTAAATGCATAAGTTTAAAATCTTATTTTTCAATTTAAAAACAAAATTAATTTACCTCAAGGCATGATTGGGGGGCTGATCGTCAGGCACAGCGTATCTGCGAAGCAAAGTGACGTACTCGTGTTCTGTGAGGAAATCCTCAGGCAAGAGGGCTTCCAAAATATCCCTGAATTTTTTAAGCTTTAATTTTTTTCCACGTGAAATTGCAAATTTCTACCGAAAGTGCCGAGTGGCAACTGCTCCGTGGCCGTAGTCGTCGTTTTCCATGAGAGCTGCGACCATGTCTTTGTACCTGGTGCCGAGGTGAGGTCGCATTTTGTCCAAAATCAGTTTGCTGTTGCTCAGGGGAAACTCCCTGCAGTTGGTCTCCATGTAGGTGAGCGCGTAGTCGTCAGCGTCGTGCAGGACAAACTCGAATTTGTTGACCACAATTGTCGCGCCGATAAAAAAGTCGTCGGCCCTGTACAGCTCGGGTTTGTCGTCCACATTGAGCATGTCCTGGTTAGGCTTGAAAAGGGCACCTCTTTCCAAAAACTTGCCACCTTTGTAGCCTTTTTTTTTAAATTTAATCGTAATATCAAAATTTTTAAATGCAGCTGCTCACCAGTGTTGGGAGTGAACACCTCGTGAATGGAAATGGTGTCGTCGCTCAAGTAATAGGAAAAGATAAACTTGCGAACTTCGCATCCCTCCTTTAGTTTGGCAGCAAATCTCAAAACGTGACTCTCCAAACCTTGCCTTTTTTGTAGAAACATAAATGAATATTCTAATTTAATTTTTATTCAAATTACCTGTCTTTCGTGAAAAACTGGGTGAGATCCTTCTGCCTTTCCTTCATGATGAAACTCTTGCAGTTGGCCGCCGAATCTTCGTACGAACCAAAACCATTGTAGGGAGGCAAATGGCCCTTGGGTGGATGTTTGGCAGATTCTCGCGTTTCGTCGCGCGGGTATGGCAAGGGAGTAAAATCCTCTGAAAATTGATATTGAAATCTAATTCAGACATGAATTTTTCAATAAAAAATTAAAAATTAATGTGCGTAAATAATAAAAATGTAAGCATTTCATAAAATTTAAAAAAAAAATATTATATAATTATAATATAATACATGCTTATATCTCTTTAAATTTTAAGATTTCCTTGCTTGCTTTATTGGTGGCTCAACAAAAGCATCATATTTTTACTTTTTTAATTAAAAAAAATTTAAACCAAACACTAATTCTTTTAAAGCGAAAATGATTTCGATTTAGAAATTGTGACTTCACAGTAAAAAAAATTAAAAACTAGTACAGCTTTGAATTTTCATCACCTTTTCCGTATCGGTCGTTGTAATACTTTTGCGTGAATTTGTCGCAGCTAACGAGCACCACCGGACGTCCGTACACGTTCACAGTGGCTCCAATGAACAACTCGTGGTCTCGGACGTAGTCGATCTTCCGGTAGGCGCCATCGGCAGGACTGGCGTCCTTGAGAAACTGTCTGCCCTTCATGACGTTGAGGATGGGCAGCTGGTCAGGGGCGCCGAGGTCGACAGACACCTCCTTCTTGGGCAGACACTGCCTTTTGACCATGCGGCCGCCGTCTTCAAACAACACCTCCAAGGTGTCGTCGGCCAGGTAGAAGAGCAGCGTGACCTTATGCAGAAGACCGCCTTCATGCTCGCGGTCGTCCCAGTAGCCTTTGAAACTGAGGACGACCCCGTCCAGTTTCAAGAACCGCCTTTCGTCCGGCACAGATGTGCTTTTCGGAGCCACTTCTTTTTTGTCCTCCTCTTTAACAGCCCTATAGATGATATTTCAATAAAATTAATTTTTTATCAAATTAATAATAAATTGAAGAAATTAAACATTTTGATTATTTTTCTCATTTAAATTGAGTTTTATAAAACAAATAAATGATCAGAAATTTTCTCTTTTCATTTTGGAAGAAAAATTTTACCTGAGCTGAGGCTTATCTTGAGGTACCGAGAGTCCAAGTTTCTCCAGCAATAGTCGGGTAAATCTGTCGCAGCCGGTGAGGACGAAGCGACGGCCGTAAATGTCAAGCGTGTTGCCGACGTTCAAGGAGGCGACGCTGTAAAAGCCGCTGCCGTGCGCGGCCATCGAATTGATTTGCGCCACATTTTCTCGGTTCTTTTCCCACTTGGTGGGCATTGGCACACGGTGCCGGTGGATCAAAGTTCCTGAAATATACATATAATTTTTTTTTATTAAAAATCAATTAATATGAAGAATAAATAAATAAATTAAAATTTTCTAATATATTTAATTGAATTAGTATTGGAACTAAATAAAAGTTTTTTTGCTTATTCCAATTTTTACCTTGGAAACAGCCGCTGTTGGTCACCTTTGGCTCCACCACCTGAATTGTGTCATCCTCCAAAAAATAATACAATTGGCACGACTTTTTCTTTCCGCTTTTCTCAAAGCAATCCGCGTCAAACTTCAACACCTAATTTAATATTAAATTTACACTGAGGCAGTTTAATTTTAAAATTTAGACCTGTTTGTCAAAGTAAAGCCAGTGGTTCTTTGGTCCAGGTGGCACTTGGCCTTCAGCGACCACTAAAGTGCCGTCAGGGTTGGGTCTTGCGACGTCAGTCAGCATGCAAACATCGTTGCGAACGCCAAAGTGCTGAGATTTGTTGAATTTTTGCTGGCTCTGTTTCTGCATTAATTTTGTATATAATTTATTTTTTTCAAAGTTCAGACATTTATCACTCACGTGAGGGTCCACTTTGTATCCAGGCAGAACGGGATAATCTTTAAATTTGGACATAATTGAAGAAGCGCGGTGCGGTAAAAAATATTCGTTCGTGAATTTTTATGAAATTTTGAAGAAAGGAATATTTATTTGGATTGTTGGTAAATAAAATAAACAACAATAAAACTATCTCCATGGTAACGTCCATAATGACTAGGAAAATGAAGCTCCTTGTTTCTTGCGATGCAACCCGCTCGACTCCAGTTGGCGCCTCAACAATGAAAGCTTCGGAAAAATGACGGCAGGTGTCAGTAAAAGCAGTCGTCATAATCAAAACACCGTCGACTTTGCGTCAAGTTTTTGCATTTTGGAAAGTTTGTATGTAATGAGAAACCTTAAAATACAAAGCTTATTTTTGAGCTGCTAGGGTGAGCTGAAATATTTCTTTACATTCGCAGGACTTTTCTTTTGATCAAGCGATTGCCGAAAATCCTCAAAATTAAAAAGCATATTTTCCGATTCAAATTTTCGGCCTTTTTTTCTGAAGAACAAAAATTATGCATGTTTTCCTTCTTATTTTTGGCTGCGGATTTGAATAGCTGTCGCATTTTTTTAGGTAAAAACTCTCGGATTTTGTAAATCCCTTGATTGACTTATCTCATCTGTGAGCACAATATGGAACAAAAACTGGCGACGGAGGTGCCGAGCAGCCTGAAGCAACTGGCCAGGCTGATCGTCCGTGGCTTCTACTGCATTGAGGACGCCCTCATCATAGACATGCTGGTGCGAAATCCGTGCATGAAGGAAGACGACATTTGCGAGCTGCTCAAATTTGAGAGGAAAATGTTGCGAGCAAGAATCAGCACGCTGAAGAACGACAAATTCATCCAAGTGAGACTGAAAATGGAGACGGGCCCTGATGGCAAGGCGCAGAAAGTCAATTATTATTTCATAAATTATAAGGTAGAATTGATATAATTATAAAACAACTGATAATAATATTGGACTCTCTCAGACATTCGTAAATGTAGTGAAATACAAATTGGATCTAATGCACAAGAGATTAGAGACTGTCGAGAGAGACGCCACAAGCAGGGCCAGTTTCCGATGTCCCGAATGTTGCAAAACCTTCACAGACTTGGAGGCTGACCAGCTCTTCGACTTCATGACTCAAGAATTTAGGTAAATCAAAGTAAATTTTTTTATCTGTATTTAATTGTACTTTTAAAATTCTATTATTCCTCTAATTTTGTCATCTTCCTTTGCTAGGTGCACATTTTGTAAAGCGCTTGTGGAGGAGGACCAGTCTGCCCTTCCCAAGAAAGATTCTCGACTAATGCTTGCTCGCTTCAACGAGCAGATGGAGACGATTTACCTCCTCTTGAAGGAGGTTGAGGGCGTCCGACTGGCACCAGAAGTTTTGGAACCTGAGCCGACCGAGTTGAGCACAATTTTGGGCAACAAATCTGTTGTCAACGGACCGAGACCGCCACTCGATGGAGAGGCCTGGTCCGGAGAGTCGACCAGAGAAAAAGGCTTCCAGGTTTGATCGAGAATTTAGTATTTGAATCTCTGTACTAAAAGTTTCAAATTTCTAGGTGGAAGAAGCGCGGGTTGATGTTTCGATCGACGATAATGAGGACAAAAATGACAAGGCCAACAAGAAGGAGAGACCTGTTTGGCTGGTCGAGAGTACCATTACTCAGAATGTGGTGCTAGAGGTACAATTCAATTTTTTTTTATAATCAGAGCCGAATTGAAATTTTTGTCATTCTAGCCGGATGCGAATGAGGTTGTTGAACCAACCACAACTGAGAAGGTCAAAGGCCAGGAGGACATCATGTCAGTCCTATTGGCCAATGAAAAGAAATCCGACTCTTATTCCCAGGCACAAAAGCCAGATGATAGCGGTTCTGACATGAGCGGGGACGAGGGCGCCTCGAGAAGTCTCGGAATGCCCACAAATCTTCTTAATGATGGTAAATGAATTTTCATTAATAATTCCTATATAAGACAAGTTAAAAGCAGTGCAATGAGAATTTTAAAGACTATTGTTTAAAAAAAGATGAGAGATTTTCCTTTCTCATTTAATTGCTTCAAACTGACCGTAAATTAAAATTATTTCCCTCAATGTGTCCTTATTTGGGAAATGCATTTTTAAATAAATACTTTATTAACCAAATATCAATGTAATGCAGAAGAAGCAGCTGTGATGAGTGATGACGAAGATGATGACGACAACTCGTCTCCGACAGTGTTAGTTAACGGCAGGCCTGTCGCCCTTTTGGAGGTCAATGACACAGTCATAGCAAAGATGTCTGCTGCCGAGAAGGAGGCCTACATTCAAGCCTATCAAGAATATTATTCCCACATTTACGAGTGATTTAAGAAATGTATTGTGTTGAACTGATTCGTTGCCAGAGTTTGGCAAATAAATTTATTTTTGATGGAAATTGTGAAGTTATTTTAAGTTCGAACAATTTCTCAAAAATTTTTGAAGGTCTTTTTTCGTACTTAATATTATTTATTAATTTTAATTATTTTTGTTCTTTCTGCGGTTTTCATTCACAGATGGCAGCAGCAATAACTAAAAGGCTGCGCCCGGGGCTTTGTTTACGTCCTAGCGACCTTTGGCCAATCGGAGGACTGGCTGAGCCAGCAGATCGTGATCCGCTGTTTCTGTTTCGCATTCGCACGGCTGCATCGGTGTCTTCACTGGCTGAGTGCATTGCTCCGACGTCTTTACCAGGCTGCGAGTGCTCTTCTCGATAGGTGAGCAAATTGTTTTTTGTTCAAATCGCTACGCCGTCTTTTGGTTTCAAGGTCGAGCCGTTTGATATTTTCCGAAAAACTTGTACTGCGCCTCAATATTTTGTTTCACGTGTCCTACTTTTTGCCAGTCTTTCAACTCACCTTTGACCAATTAAACAAAACACTGCACTTGTACTAATTCCTGCAATCTCATCAGTCAACTTTCCAATTTTTCAAATTTATCTCTTTCTTTCTTTAAGATAAGTTTTCGATGCGTGAGAGACTCTAATTTGACTAAAATCATTCCTCACAACGAATTTACACCGTATGATGATATTATCCTGCTTTAGGCAAACCGCAAAGCTGAAAATTGCGGTTTCCGTATGTTGAGTCTGTTGCAATCGATATACGGACGAAAAAGCTGCGACTTTGATTTTAAAACGATCAAAATTATGTAAGAAATTGAATTATGATTATTCAAATTTTTACATTATATAAGAATTTAGTAGATAAATAAATATTAAATTTCATCTCTTGCTTAAATATTTTTGTTTTTTGACGAGTTTGACAGACCTGCAATTTCATCAGTGCCCTACTTTTATATTTTTGTTCAATGTTAAATGAAAGCAGAATTTGCTTTTGCCATGTGCGGTCTTTTATGTTTTCTTCATTCAACAGTCTCTGTTAAAAAGATAGAAAATATAAAAAACCTTCACTAAATTAAAATAAAAAACATAAGCAGCTTATTACAGCTGCATATATAAGTAGAATACATATTCTAATATTTATCTTTCTATTATATCTTTATATTTTTTTCTGTTATGAAAAAATCAAGGAAATTGAATTGAAATCTTAAAAATAAACAATATAATTATACCTTTTCTATTGTAAATTTTAGTAAAACAGAATTAAAAATGAATTACTTGAGAATATTTGTTGAATGGAGTCAGGACAATTCAGTAAATTAGGGGCAATTTAAATTTAGGATTTGTTGAACTGAATAAAAAATTATAAATATAAAATATTGTAAGAAACTTACAATCACAGTTACATATTATTTTTTATTAAAAAAGGAAAGTAGACCGAGTCTTTGACAAAGAAAATTAAATTTCTGACGCGTTTTTGCCATATATAAGAGTTGTTTTTCAATCTTCAGTAACTTTTTCTAGAATACGTTTTAAGAGAGCAACAGTTTAATATTTGCATTGGCTTTCATCACTAATTGTTCTTTGCCAATAGAACTACCAAGGCGTAAAAATTTTTGTTTCACAAATAAAAAATTTATTTTATTGAACAGAAGCAGTAAATAATATTTTAATTCTGACTGAAGCTGCAGTAATAAAAATTTAAAATTGTTTTCAATTTTCGCTCCTGTATAAATATTTTTCATCTCTACGCAGTTCGTGTATGTTCAATAAAAAAAAAAAAAAATTATTTCAATTTGTGACTTTTTAAACTGCAGAGTCTCATAAATTTCAATGAACTTGATGCACCTGTGTAAATTTACATGAATATTTTTTCTTTATAAATGTTGATGCATTGCCTTTTGTTTTCAGTGCCTCCTGGCTGTTGCGATGGGTGACAACTCGGGCATCGGCGAGTGGCAGTTCTGCGTGAGGGCAGTCACCGAGCCTGGAGAGACCTTGGCGGTCATCGGCGAGTGTCCGCAGCTGGGTCAATGGAAACTGCAGGGGGCCTTGGACTTGCAGTGCGGCCACGAAGGGTACGTACCAATGACCTAGGTGGCACAATGTTGCATTGCTCACACTACGTGCGTCGTACAAATGCAGAAACGTGTGGCGCGGCACAGCCCGACTGCCTAGGGGAAAGTCGATCGCGTACAGATACCTGGTGTGCGTTTTGGTCCCGTCGGACGGCGAACGCCTCATGGAGATGGTCAGGGTGGTCAAGCGATGGGAGACCCACCCCCAGCCCAGGGTTATTACTCAGCAGGGTACATTTCATTATAATTTGTTTTATAATTTTTTGAAAGGAAATTATGTATTTGCGTGTTGATGTAACTTTAGGGATGTGCAATATTTTAATTAAGATTACTAAATCATTAATTTATTTAATTATCACAGTTTGGAATAAGCTTGCTAAAATTCTATAGAAAAACCAAATTTAACCTAGAACTTATGTTATAATTTAAAAAAAATCATGTTGCATAAATTAATTTGGATTATTAAAATCCAATTCAATTGAGTTCATTTATTTATTTTTCATTTTTTATTGTAAAAATATAATTTAAAGAATCCTAACTTATGATTAAGTTTAACAGCTTCACTACAGTCCTTTAACAAAAATTAAGAAGATTTTATGATTTTTTTATAATTATTAAAATAAATATTTCTATACCTTCAGATTAAAAAAAAAACTGTGTTGCACATCCCTAACAATAACCCTATTAACCATGCTTGTGTTGCAATTGTGGACCATTTTTATCTCTGGTCCCTTCGTAATTTATTTAAGAGGGGAGCTTATTAATGGGATAATTATTTTCAATTGTTTTATTTTAATAATAAGGGACTAAACTGAATAAGGGAGCCAAATTGTATGTGGCAGATTGGAATTTTTACTCAAAATAATTTATAATTTTTTTATATTCATTTTTATCTGACAAAAAGACAGTCCCAGTAAATTGAAATTGTAACTCTTGCAAAGTCTCAAAACTCTGTGTAGATTGTAGAAAAGTTTCAGCAATTTTTTTAAGGAACCAGAAGAAAATCAATGAGTGTGCTATGAATGTTTTGGGGGGAAATTAAAAAAGACAATTCCCAACTAAAATGTTCAAATTGCAATTTAGATTCGGAAAGAACTCAATGCAGAGAAGCTGTTGATGAATTTGGTTTGGTTGGAAACCTTCAGCATGTCGAGCGAGGTTGGTTGACAGCCGAGACAGTAATTCAACTGAAGATCTTTGGCGACGAACCCATTAAAATGTGGAAGCGACGACTTCTTAACAAACAAGTGCGACTTGAATTAGTCACGACCTAACACGTTTATTTCAAATTTGAAACATCTAGGTTTTGGTGAAAGTCACTCCTGTGAATCTGGTTGCTGGATCGGCGCCGGAGAGGTTAGCAAAAGCTGGAGAATTGTCTTTGGACGAGAGCATGGACACGCTGGAGCTTTCTGGGAACAATGGGGAGCGATCTAGTTGGCCCATTACTGAACTCTCGGTAATTGTCTTGTTCCTAATGGGGCTGTTTATATATTAGTAAAGTGGGTCACGCGACTAATCAGTTGTAAAACAAAGTGTATAACTGATGGGGTAATGATCACATCCATGTGCTACTTCTTCATCGGCAATCACATGCTTTGAATAGTTAAAGAAAAAATCGTAAAAAATCATATATCACATTAGACGAAAAAAAAAAAAAATAATTGTTTGGTGTCAAAGAACCTTTTGTTCTAATGCATATTTTTTTGCTGGTTTTCCAGTGCTTTCCTTTGTATAATTTTGACGAGGTATCTAATTAGGTGTAAATCAACTTATTTGGGAAGCTCATTCTAATTGCACTTTCAGGTTATGGACGAAGACGACTGCGAGTTCAGACCGCAAGAGCAGTTTGGACGAGTTTACAAAGCGGGTGATTTTTTCTTGTATCAGATTCAAGTGCTCTTTGCAGACAATGTGGTAAGAATGATCTTATGATTTAATTAAAATGCCTTTTGAACAAAAAATAATAATTTTTTTCAGGCTTACCTTGTTGACTTTTACGCTCGCAGCCAAGGCTCGGCCGACGAAGATGTGCCGACGCATGTGGGCTTCAGCTACATTCTGCCCAGCGTGATGAAGGCCAGTGAGGGCCAAGCGATAGTCCCAATAACTGGACTCAGACACCAGCCGATTGGACAGCTGACCGGTTAGTAAATTGACTTGACGGGACCTATGAGTCCCTACTGAGAGTCGCTGTCTGTGTCTCTGCTTGGCAGTCGAGTACCTCAAAGTAGCACCCATGGCCAACGACGAGTGCAACATGAAAGAGGTCTACAGCCGATACTGGAGCCATACCTGGTGTGGCCTTGATGTCGGTCACAGGGGTGCAGGAAACTCGTTCAAGATGCAGAAAATAGGGTGAGATTTTAAAATCAAAGCAATTTTCAGGAAATATCACAAAAGGTGGAAAAAAAAATCTTTTATCCAAAATAATACAAAATTGTATTCAAGCTTCCAGACTTCTTTTGGGATTAATCAGCAGAGTAAAATTTGCCTTTTTTTCATTAACTCGTCCTAGTATAAAAAAGGAACTATTGATTTTTTTCGAATTGTTTACTTTGAATAACTTTTCATTTTTTATGTATAAAACTGGGATTGTGATTTCATACGCAGCATGGCAGAGATTCGGGAGAATACAATCGCCTCCCTAACTCAGGCTGCCCGTCATGGAGCCGACTTTGTTGAGTTTGACGTTCAACTTTCCCGAGATTTGGTTCCCGTCATTTACCATGATTTCCATGTCATCATCTCAATGAAACAGAAAAGCACTCTTCCCGACAATGATCTTCTCACCCTGCCTGTCAAGGACCTTACTCTCCAACAGTTGCATCTGCTCAAGGTAAAATTGTAATTTTTTTTCTTTAACACCTATAAGCGCTTTACCTTCCAATCTATCCATACAGATACACTCTTTTGTGAGTTGCATGCACAAGGAAAATGCGCTACAATCTGTAGAGTTGACTTAAATTTCTCCTCTACAGAGAAACCAAAAATAAAATTCCTTTCACAACTTTTTTAGCATGCTTGAAACTGGATAATAAGCCCCTCTTTATTTTTATGGGTGATAGTTTTGTTGCTTTGTTCTGTACTTTTATATTGCTCTGCAGGGCATAAATTGGCCAGTGCCTAGTAAAGTCCTCCATTTTAGCGCCGTTGATGATGGCTACGGCAGGGTAAGCTCAGGAATAGCTGCTTTGCCTGCTCTGCTTTTATCCTTAATTAGTTATAGTTGATATCATCTTTACATAATTATATTTTCCTAGCATTTTGCCTTCAACTAATTTTCAGGTCACTAAACTAACTTTATTCATTCCTCTGTAGATTTAACTTCTGAATAAATTTTGCTCAAAAATAATTGGTATGAAATTATTAAAAATTTCTTCACATTGCAAGCAAGGTTTAAACTCAGACCGTCATATTTGCTGAGAGCCAAGTTCCATATCGCACTGCGACGAACGCATGTTGACATTATAATTTTGTCACGAGTGCTTGCTTCGACTTGTTTATGACTGCCATGCCAGAGAAAATACCCAAGATCAAATATTTTGCCAAAATGAATGTTGTGTTGCAATCACGTTTATTTGTTTTATATTGTGATTTTTTTGCACGGATTTAGAATGGCAGTGCGTTTTTATTGACAAGTTTTTGTTTTTAAGGTATATCACCTTGAAGAAGGCAAAGATCAGCTAAAGCCGAGGTTTTTTGACGAAGATCTCGAAGACCACCAGCCATTCCCTACCCTGAGGTCAGCTTTGGAAAAACTTGACGAGCATGTTGGATTCAACATTGAGATTAAATGGACTATGCAGCTCAAAGTAAATTATTGCTGACTCTGTAACTTTCTTCTATAATAACTCCAATCTACTTTTTTAGGACGGAACATATGAGTTGTACCATCCCTTTGATCTGAATTTGTACCTGGACATAGTTTTAGAATGTGTTCTCAAACACGGAGGCCACAGAAAAATCATTTTCTCATGCTTTCATCCTGACATTTGCACCATGTAAAATTTTTTTATTTCTTTATTCTCATTTAATCAACATAATTTTTAACAGGATTCGCTTAAAGCAGAATAAGTATCCAGTTATGTTCTTGACCCAAGGAGCGACTAGCAAGTACCCTAAGTACAATGACCCTCGATGCCATGACATCCATGGTGCCATATACTTTACCAAAGCCGCTGGAATTCTTGTAAGAATATTTAATTTTTTTTTTATTAAAATAATTCAATATCTGATTTAGGGTGTAAATGCGCACACGGAGGACCTGTTGAGAGACCCATCTCTCGTTCAAGCTGTTAGAGACGCGGGGTTGGTTTTGTTCTGCTGGGGTGACGACAACAACGACGCCAACACAATCAGACACCTCAAAGCATTGGGACTCCATGGAGTTATTTATGACAAGTAAAATTCATTATTATTATTTTTTTTTAGATAATTATCAAATTTGTGTTTTAGGATTGATCAGTTGGCTTGTAAAGAAGTGAAAGAGAGCATCTTCTTGGTCGAAGCAAGAGGAGGTGAAAGACAGAAGATTGCTGCACTAGGCATCCAGAGTCTAGCTCAGTCCGCAGTAGAATCACAAGGGGTATTGTACGACTTATTTGAGTATAGATAAAGCCTAATAATTTTGTTTTATAGTGTGGCCAGGAATCCGATGAAGGACCTATTTTGAATCTTGCACCTACTACGTCTGCTTCTGGTTCATGCTAGCACGCTTTACTTCCCTCTTCGTCCTTCATCTCACCAAAGTTATTCAAATAATATAAATAATTGTATAAAGTATGAAAATTTATAAATTATCATAAGAAAAAAATGGAGAATAGCTATTGACTTGCGTAACTGGCTCTTTAAATAATCATATTCTGCTTAGGATTTTGGCTACTTGAGCTAAAAGTTATCAAATGTTATACATTTTAATTTAGCGAGAGGAACTATTTTTCATTGCCCATACTGTGGATCACACTGGGAATCACGCAATTTACCATTGCATATATTTTATCTTCAATACAAGGGACAATCACACTTAATTAATTTATATTTTGTGTGCTGAGGCAAGATATCACCAAGTACAACATTGTTCATTAGAGGAGTTAGAAATTCCAAGTATTATTTTTATTGAAGTATAAGCAAATACGTAACCAATAGTCACAATATGGCTTATTTAGCTTTCGAATTATGCAATTTGTGCTTCCTGCTCAATAAAGATACATAAACATTAGTATTTTATTAAATATTTTATTTTCTCAATGTCAATTCAGAAAAGCGCAATCCATTTAATTGACTGATTAGAAAATGATCTTTAGTATTGTATATATCCAAAGAAACAAGAAACCTCATTTCTCAAAAATAAAGGAAACATATTCAGGTGTACGTCGCATTCCTTTGAACCAGATTCTGTAAATAAATGAAAATATTAGTCCTGTGCTCAGAATTAAATCCAAAGAGACCTCTTCTTTAAAAATAATGAAAAAAAATTTCACGTGTGCGACGCACTCCTGTAGACCTGACTCTGGAAATATCTCATCACTATAGTCCTTTGCACAGAATAAAATCCAGAGACCTCTTTTTTTGAAAATAATGAAAAAATATTCAGATGTGCGTCACACTCCTTTGAACTTTGAACCAGATTCTGTTAATAAATGAAAATAATAAGTCCTGTGCTTGTGCACAGATTAAAATCCAAAGAGACCTCTTTTTTGAAAATATTGAAAAAATATTCAGGTGTGCGTCGCACTCCTTTGAACCAGATTCTGTAAATAGATGAAAATATTAGTCCTTTGCACAAAAGAAAATCCAGAGACCTCTTTTTTAAAAATAATGAAAAAAATTTCAGGTGTGCGACGCACTCCTGTGGACCTGACTCTGGAAATATCTTATCACTTAAGTCCTTTGCACAAAATAAAATCCGAAGAGACCTCTTTTTTAAAAATATTGAAAAAAATTTCAGGTGTGCAACGCACTCCTGTAGACCTTACTCTGGAATTACCTTATCACTTTAGTCCTTTGCACAAAATAAAATCGGAAGAGACCTCTTTTTTGAAAATATTGAAAAAAATTTCAGGTGTGCGACGCACTCCTGTAGACCTGCCTCTGGGAATATCTTATCACTTTAGTCCTTTGCACAAAATAAAATCCGAAGAGACCTCTTTTTTTGAAAATATTGAAAAAATATTCAGGTGTGCGTCGCACTCCTTTGAACCAGATTCTGTAAATAGATGAAAATATTAGTCCTATGCTCAGAATTAAATCCAAAGAGACCTCTTTTTTTTAAAAACAATGAAAAAAATTTCAGGTGTGCGACGCACTCCTTTAGACCTGACTCTAGAAATATATGAACAAATTAGTCCTGTGCAAAGCATCAACCCAATGAGTCCTCTTTTTAAAAATATTGAAAATTATTTAGGTTTGTGTCGCACTACTTTGAACCAGATTCTGTAAGTAAATTATCAAAGTAGTCCTGCCCACAGAATTAATCCAAAGATTGTAGATATATATGATTTTTGATTAATATAAGTGGGATTCAGATATAATTATTTATTTTATTTGTAGGTCCTTACGTTAAACATGGGATTCCAAGTGAATACAAAAAGTGGAAACTTATTTGCCAGCTGCAGTAGCAAGGGGGTTTCTCAGAACAAGAATGACGGAGTCTCCGCGGAGGAACATCTTTGAGATGAATCTGTCCTTATTCACAGGCTTGGCCTGAAAAAAAAATATCATTAGTTTTTATTTTGTACACGGCAAGTTTAATTTATTTTTAGGTTACAATACATAATGTGGAGAGATTAAAAATAAAAACTATCTCCAGTTCCATAAAAATGAATTTAAAAATGCCATAATATTATTTATAATTCAGTACTGCACCTTCTTCTTGCTCTTGCCGGTTCTTGGGAGCTCTGTCCACATTTCTTTAACATTTTCAAGAACCATGTTGCAGTGGCGGTCAAATGCTTTGACTCTGCCGAGCAACTTCTTGTTGTTGCGGCAATTTATGAGCACCTGCGTGTTATTTTTCACGCTCTGGGTGAGAACAGAGAGCGGTCCTGTGTTGAATTCCTCCTCCTCGCGCTTTGAAAGCTCTTCTGGGGTCATTTCTGACTTTGGTTTGGTCAAGAGAGTTGTTGCCCTGCGAAAAAAGCAAAATTCAGTTGTTGGCCACGATGAAACGACGCTTTCGCTATTTTCCTTGTTAACTTGGATTTTGATCACTACTTACGCCATATTTTGTTGCGGAAAATATTTTCTTCTTAGCTTGTAGAAATTTACACTCTATAAATCCTGGAAAATGTCGAATATTTGAGATTTAGTTGCTCAAAACGGGGTTAAAAGAACGGCTTCAATAGTAAACAAGATTTTTTGATGATTTCTCGCGGAGCATCAGCGAGGCTGATGATCGCTGATGATTTTCCCGCTGACCAATAGCGATCTCGATCGTGTGCTCAACAAGAAAAAATTTAAGGACTCCTTATTGACATAGTCAAATCAAGTCTTTACAACAATGGTTTGTTAAATTCCCAATAATTGCCAAAAATTATTTCTATTGTTGTAAAGACTTGATTTGACTATGTCAATAAGGAGTCCTTAAGCAGATTCGGCGCGGACATAGCTGAAATTTAATATTTAATTAATTATTAAATCGCTTACGATAAATGATGTAATTAAAAGTGATTTGTATTTTTTGCGTGTTTTAAAAAATAATCAAACACAAATACACTTTATTTTTCTCACATTGTTGTTATTTTTAAGCTTTTATTAGCATGAAATTTTTCACAAATTTAAAATACAGTCTCAATATATGCAGCATATTAAAAATATTAATTGTGTTTTATGAACATTGATGAACAAGATACAAAATTTATTGTTTTCATAAACTTACATAATTATTTATTATTTATTGGTTATATCCGCCTCATATCGGTGTACTAATAAGGAGAAGACGCCTGAATAATTAGCGAGGGACTTGTTGACATCTTAGCCTGAAAATGAACAATTCTCAATTATTGCGTAAAAAATGAGTAAATTTTTCAAAGCAATAGAAAATAAATAAATTGTTAAAATTGAATAAATAAAGCCAAATCAAAAATATTTAAATAATATAAAAACAATATTTTTTTTGCCAGGTCAAGACAAAGTCTTGTCGGCCTGTGCCCTGTCTTAGTGGTGCAGAAGGCACCGCTCAATTTCATTAATTTTTTTTTACACTTTTAATTCTAAATTTATAATTTTTTTCGCAACTTTTTTACATACAGATTTGTGATCCAGCATAATTTGCTTGAAAGTAAGAAAGTCTCCGAAACTGAGGAGCATCTCAAAGACCTCTCCCTCCAATTCATATCTTTGTGACCTGCAAAAAAATATTGCTACTTTTATTCAATTTTTATTATAATAAATTAATTTTTTTTTACTTACTGCAGCTCATTAAGAAAAATTGTCATGTTAAAGTCAGGAATTCTTCTGAGTAACTCATTTTTCAAATGATCTTCAATGGAACGGATCTGTTTTGTCAAATAAAAAAAGTTAAGCAAAAATAGAAAAAAAAAACATAATTCAGATTTGTTTGTGTCTTCAATGGCAAATAATAAATTAATCGAATTAATCAAATTAATATTACGTATTCTTGAAAGATGTCCATGTAAATCAACTTATTTTCCTCATTATCTTCAAAATGAACACAATTTTGATCCATGAAAGTCTCTCGCAGAATTTGGAAATTAGGATCTAATCAATCATTTTTATGAGCACAATTAACTAATTAATTTTGCAGGCAAACCCATTATGATATCTTCTATGTGGCCAATTGTTGTGTCAAACAGCATAGAACCCATCGACACGTTTAGTTCCAAAGTTTCAGAAAAATCTTCACCGTTTCGTAGACCTTTCTCGTCGTGACTTGAATTCTTCTCGCCATTAATATTTCTCAAGCTCATGGTTAAAAACGAAAAAGCTGTAATGTGCTATATTAATGTATTTCCCGGTATTTCCACCAATAAAGCGGAAACGTTTAATACACTAAAACTGGCCAACCACTGTTTAAATTAAATTGAAAACTGTTTATAGGTTCCAAAGTGGAAAATAACGACCGTAACGACCCAAATATACCAAGAAAATATCACTTGCACAATCTTCGCAGCTCGTTTCCATGGATATTATGCATAGGAATCTATACGCCTCATCCATTGCGCGCCACAGTGCGAAATATTAAGGGAGCGAAAGGGAGGTGCTTCGAATAGCCAACATAATAAATGAAAATTCCCAGACTTGTAATTAAAATTTGTTTAAACTCGGCAAAAAAAATGTTCTGATTTAATTTGAAATACTTTTTACTACCAGGTAACACTTTTCATCTATTTAAAACTGAAAAAAAATGTTAAAATGTTAGACGGATATGACATGGAATATTTAACATTTGTTGGCATTACTGAATTTTCATGGCCGTCATCTGTACTTCTTAAAAGCATTTTTATCCGGCGTGAGAGTTCTAAAGAGGCGAAGAATTCTCTGATTTTCTCTGTTTATAATCGCAGGTTCGTAGCTTTGACATTATAAGATAATAAATAAATGATCGGTTTGTCAAAATTTTTCATCAGTCCCCTTTAGACGTAATTTTATTCAACGAAACTGGGAAAAGCAACGCGGATGATGTAACATGTTTTCCCCGAAAAAGTGGTCAAATACCGCACGAACAGCCCAAATTTCCACATTTAAACGGCAAAAATATTAAATCTTTCAATACATTGTATTTTCTAGAACTCGATCATGGCAGCACAATTTTTGAACAGGCTTGGACAACTTGGTTTGGGTGTTGCTATTGCTGGAGGTGTTGTCAATTCTGCTCTATACAATGGTATGTATGGCGTAAAATTTTGTCAAATTTCAATGTCGAAATTTGTGATGAAAAATATTAATAAATGGAATATTTATTTATTTACAGTTGATGGTGGTCACAGAGCGGTAATTTTTGACCGATTTGCTGGTATCAAGAATCAAGTGTCAGGAGAGGGAACACATTTTTTCATCCCCTGGGTGCAGAGACCTATAATTTTTGATATCAGGTCTAGGCCTCGAAACATACCTGTCATCACTGGAAGCAAAGGCAAATTATATCTTTTGAGACCTTAAAATATATGAATTATAAAATTTAATCTATTCACAGACTTGCAGAATGTCAACATCACACTCCGTATCCTGTTCAGACCGATCCCCGACCAACTTCCACGCATCTACACAATTCTTGGCGTTGACTACGACGAGAGAGTTTTGCCTTCCATCACCAATGAAGTGCTCAAAGCCGTTGTTGTAAGTTTGAAAGGACCTCATCTGTTTAAGTAAAAATTGCAACCTGATTTTCAGGCCCAATACGACGCCGGAGAACTGATTACTCAGCGTGAAATTGTGTCAAAGAAAGTCTCTGATGATTTGACCAGGAGAGCCGAGCAGTTCGGTGTCATCCTAGATGACATTTCTATTGTACGCAATAAAAAAAAAAAAAAAAAAAAAACGAGTGGACATAATAATCAATTCAAACATTTTAGACCCATCTGACTTTTGGAAAAGAATTCACCATGGCCGTTGAGTTGAAGCAGGTTGCACAGCAAGAGGCAGAACGTGCCCGATTCCTTGTTGAAAAGGCTGAGCAGCAGAAGAAGGCGGCCGTCATTTCGGCTGAGGGTGACGCTCAGGCTGCCATCCTTTTGGCCAAGGCCTTCGGAGAGGCTGGTGAAGGCTTGGTGGAGTTGAGGCGCATCGAAGCAGGCGAGGACATTGCCTACCAGCTGGCCAGATCGAGGAACATTGTTTACTTGCCTCCAGGCCAAGGCACCCTGCTGACCCTGCCTCCCATCCAGTAAAATCGCAATGTAAATAAAACGTAGGGCATCCAAGATTTGGAGCCTCGATTGTTACTATTTTGGGGCGCCAGGCTTAGTCATTGATATCATTTATGAAAAATACTTCATCAGAGAGAGATCGGCCATGTTGTATGCATTTGATTTTGGAATAAAAGAATGCTGAATTATATTCATTTCCAGCAAAAAAAAAAAGTAGATGAAAATTTATTTATTTCATTCACCAGTTTTGTAGATGTATTTTGTATTTTTTGGAACTCTCTTAGTGTGATGACTTGATCAGTATTATAATTTGTAATTTTTTTTATTGAATTGTTGTATGAATATTGGAACTACCTCAAATTAATCATTTATTTATCACTTTTTTGATAAAAATGATATTAATATATTACAACAGCTAACAGCTTTTTAGCAGTTTGTACATCACAAAGTGAAAAAATATTACATAATTATGCATGTCGAATAATAATGTGTAATTTGGGCATGTAGCGCATAATCACAGCATTATGTTTTTAATTATTTGATAATGCTTATCTCTAGGGAACATAATTTTTAATGTTGCAGTAACGGCGAATTAATTTGATTCAATTTTTGTAATTTTTATTCTCAATTTCCGCAATCCGCGAGTGTGCGACTGTGCGCTCCTCTCGCGCGGTTTCACTTTCAAATGCGTTAGGTGCCGTTGGTGAAATCATCGATCATGAAATAGCCAACCCTTTCGTAGCCACCATTACACAACAGGCACGTCACCCCGACACTTAGAACCAGGTAATTTGCCAAATTTAAAAGGAAATAGGCAAACTTTCTAGGCCTTTTTTCTATTTGTGGCTCCAACTTAGTTGGTTCCTTTGAAATTGGCGATTTTCACCCAGATGTAGGTCAGAGACCACGAAATATTGTGCACTGTCACTAGGCGCTATTTTACGAACTTAACCTCCTTTCTGTTTTCATCTTGTGTGTCAGCTTAATTGCGAATTTTTCCCTGGTGAAAACCTATTTAGAGGTAGTTTTGAATTTTCCAGTAATACCAAAAATATTTTTAGCCCCGATTTTCTCTAACCTTTCTCACGTTTGTACACGTCGAAAGTTTTGTTTGCGTTTGAAATTATTTGCATAAGTTTTGATGAGCAAGGCGATTGTATTTGATTAATAATCACGCATCAATTGTGAAACTCATCCTATTAATAAGCGTATCTTCAAGGTCTCAAATCATCTCTGGTGATTGATATGGCGTCTTTCAAAATGTGAATTTTGCTTGAATGTAAATTTTCCTCCTACAAAATGACTTTAATTTTTCCAAAATTTTACATTACACGTTTTAAATTGACCTTTGATGCTTTTCAGAGAGGGCTCTATTTGTCAGCGCAGTCGAGTGACAACCAGGACTGATCAGTAGAAAGACATAAAAAATGTTTTTATGGGACTGGTTCACCGGCGTGCTAGGCTACCTGGGTCTGTGGAAGAAGTCGGGCAAATTGCTCTTCTTGGGGCTGGACAATGCGGGCAAAACGACCCTATTGCACATGCTCAAAGACGATCGGCTGGCCCAGCATGTTCCCACCCTGCACCCCACGTCCGAGGAACTGTCCATTGGCAACATGAGGTTCACAACCTTTGACCTCGGAGGGCATCACCAAGCAAGACGTGTGTGGAAGGACTACTTCCCGGCTGTCGATGCCATAGTTTTCCTCATTGACACCTGCGACCCCAACAGGTGACAAAATCTTTTTTTTTTAACTAGACCTTTTTTTGTAAAATTGGAAATGTTTAATATATTTTATTTCATTTAAAAACTAAATTTTTTCAATTTAATTGATTAAAAAATTTCTTTAATTGAAACAGAATGTGTTTTAAATTTTTTGAAATTGAGAGTTAATTTAAACTTTTCATCTGCAGGTTTGCTGAGAGCAAAGAGGAGCTGGTGGCTCTCCTTTCAGACGAGCAGCTGGCCAACTGTCCAGTCCTTATCCTGGGTAACAAAATCGACCGTCCGCAGGCTGTGTCTGAGAACGAGCTGCGACAGTACTTTGAGCTGTACGGCCTGACCACGGGCAAGGGCAAAGTGCCTCGCGCGGAACTGCCCGGCCGCCCACTTGAATTGTTCATGTGTTCGGTGCTGAAGCGACAGGGCTACGGAGAGGGCTTCCGGTGGCTGGCCCAGTACATCGACTAGACAGCTCTCTCTCTCACACACACACTCATTCCCTTTATAAAATTCATCTGTTCAACTCCGATTTAGCCTTTGGCTGATTTAATTTGCAAAATTTTGGGTGGATCACTTTGATGATTGCTTTCACCAGCCCTTTCTCGGGGAGGAGCTTTTCCAGAGGCCCGAACGCAAAAAGTCAAGATGTTCCGATCAGACATGCTTTTTTAAGTGAGCTGACTGACCCTAATATTAGAAAACGATTAATTTGGGTTTCTTTTTCAATCAAGTGTATCTAAACTGTGCTCAAGAATGAGGTTAAAAATCTGCGTCGATGATGAAATTTCAATTTTTGTCTTTGTGCCTCTTTAAAACTGCCTGCCGGGAATGGATTAGAAGAAATGTCTATTGTTGAGGGTTATAAGTTATTATATTTTTTTTTGTTTTTAAAAATTTTATAATTATCGTCAAAATGAAAAAGTGCAAGTCAAGCAACAAAAGTGCAGAAATGAGTAACATCCCAGCGTCATTTTGAGGTTTTCGCCAACACACCTCTGTATGATACAACCAATATTATTGTAAAATTTTCTTCATAATTAAGAACACAGTGCATTCATTCTGGTTTCACATTTAGGCAAGACAAGTTTTTACACGTACGAGCTGATTTGTCTGTTATCAATAAAATTTGAGCTAAATTTTCAGAAAAACATCTTTTTTATTTAACAAAATCAACCATTATGAATTAAAATAATATGTATAACTTATTAATATAATTTTTATGGGTGACAAGAATTCATTCAATCAAAGGATTTTTTATGCATTGAAGCGGGTTGGTAGAACTGATTGCCCCACCCTTACTTTTGTTGGTCACCTGACTTTGGGAACGTCAACAATCAACACACACCGGCTGTCATGCAAGGGTGAGCAAGGGTTTTCTTTCTGCTCCTTGACTAAAGACAGTAAAGACTTAATTAATCTTAAATTTATGTGGTACACAACACCATGGATTTTGCAAACGTCATAACCAAGGTTGACTCGGACCTCTTCATAACTGTAAGTAGAAATTTGCATTTTAATTTTATACTTAGGTGAGTTCTGTGTCTAATTTATTAATTACATTTCATTTCATGCATCAAATCACAAGAATAACACACAATTATTTTTTATAAGTAACATTTATTATGTAGAATGTAAATTATAGAATTTGTTCGTTCCTTGCAGATTGTGGAATCCTGCATTGACAGTTTGTGCGGAAGAGCTGAAAATTTTACTGAATGTTCCTTGACAGCAGACGAAACACTTATTGTCTCCAAAGCGATTAAATCTGCGATCGAAACTATTCTGAAACTCAATCTTGGACCACAACAGGTAAGTTGAGGGTTAGAATTTTCTTAAATATTAAAATCTCATGTTTGTTAAAATATGTGAAACATTTTTTTGTCATATAATTTTGAAACAATTTATTAAAAATAAAAAATTCAAATTTTCCAGGTTCCCACATCTGAATGGAATAAAGCAGACTTGAAATATGTAGAGCTTCTGCATAATTGCTTAGAAAAACGACCTGGTGAAGTAAAAGCGATAAGAGTGAAACTTATATTGAACAAAGGAAGTCCAAATTTACAAGACTACAACTGGGATGTCAAGGTAGGAAATATAATTCAAGCATATTGAAATAATTTTCAAAACAAAATAACTTATTTATCTTTGCCGCCGTAAAAGTAAATTAATTAGTTTCATAATTTTTAAGTGGGTTCTTGGTAGCAGCAGTCTCTCATCAAAGGAAGAACCTCTAGCGAATTTTAGTTTTTACCTTCCAGGAGGAGTTTCCCATTTAGTGGAAATGAACAAGAAAGAAATTGATATTTTTATTCAGTCATTGGAAAACAAGTAATTGAATTAATATATACATTTGGTCAGTAAAGCTTAATGCTTTATCCTATCATTAATCTCATTATTTTGTAAATTTATCTAAAGAGAGTATAATTATTGTAGAAAAAACTTTAAATTAAAATGCATTTTTTTCTTAATCACAATTGCTTTTATTTGTTGCTTCTCACAGCAGACCATTGTAATAAGAAATTAAATCAAATAACGAGGTTCCTTGACGTATTGGTATATTTTTTGTAAAAACATCGCTTTATAATGATGGGAAATTGATTAATGTATTATATTCTTACATTCCCAGTGGTGGATTAACATGTGCATTTGACAGGGAAGGAACATGAACTGTGGCAAGATGTCTCTATCTCTATCAGGGTATTTTGTTAAACGTGGCTTGACAACATCTATATAACTACTTTTTGACTTCCATTAATACACACGGCTAATTTTATCCCATAGCAATAATAAATTAGTGTCATGCTTGATAATTATAATATATACGGTTTGCCATCTAAATTATTATTCTCCTATGTCATAATATAATATATATTTTTTAGATTAATGTATACAGTAAAGAATCAACAGCTTTTTATCTATCATAAGCTCATCCGTTGAGCCTCTTTTTAGCAATACATATTTAGTTTTGAATGAAAATATCTGCAACTTTGAGCAGCCAATTAGTTGCACTTAATTTTTTTTTTTGTTCAATTTCAACAAATTTAAATATTTGATTTATTAACATTTTGTAATTATTTAGTTTTGGCACTAATGAAACTGCGCTGTAGTGAAAGTGATGGTAAAAGATAATTGGATGTTAAAAGTTTTTCTGAAACAGCTAAATTGGTGCCATGGTACTTGATGTTAGTTATTTTCATTTAAGCAATTCATTTGATTGTACATATTTTTTATGTTTTCTGTAGGCATTTTTTTTAGTGTTCATCTTGTTAAGCCGACTTTCGGAATATGATGCTATTCATCTATAATTATATTCACATGACATAAAACATCTCAAAGGAAGCAAAAATATCAGAAAATGTCAGTGGCGCCTTTTAATTCCTGTGCTGACAAAAGTGGAAATGATGGAGAATGATATCCTAGCATGTGGTGCCTGTGCTCATTCGACAGGTCCACAAGAACTTATATATTTGCGGAAAGCAAGTCCGTATATATATAAAAATATTCCCAAAATGATCAATCACATTCTTGTGAACTACATAACTCTCGAGACGTTGAACGGTTTAGTCCCGAGTAACCAAATAGCAAGTTCGAAAGTTGTCAGTTGACGTCGATAAATCTTCTTTGTTAGGTACATAATGACTTAAGCAGTCCTTGTTTGTGTATCAAAGGCACCCCTTTTTCCAATGGATAAGTCGGGATACAACTGCCGCACTTTTAAAGACTAAGATGGGGAATGCTGTGGCCTCTATAATAATTTCACTAATTGCATTGTTTTAAGTTAATTACTAATAATTAATTTTAACTTCCTTTACAACAGAAATATTAATTGAGGGATTGAAAATTTAAATTAGGAAAACATTAAAAGTTAAAATTTATATTTATTCCCTATCCACAATTAAATTGCGAAAATGATCAAACTCTATGGTGAAATTTTTGATAGTGAAAGTCACAAGTTTGGGTTTAAAATTATTTTATCGAGGATTATTGAGTAGGCCAATGTTATAGAGCAAATTTCAGTTGGATTAAACGGCAAGATTGAAAAATTCCTTTCCATAATTTCCAACAATAGCAGTTCTGTGCCCTACCTGCTACTGCCAAAATTATGTCAATTTTTATGAAATTATGAATATAAAAATTAAAAAAATTACAATCTTTTTTATTTTGGGTCAATAATTTAATCAATTTATATCAATTTCTTATGAAAAAAATCACATTTTAGGGGTCACAGCTTAAAAAATTCATCCCAATTTTTCATAGTGCGCGCGCGTGTGATTTTTTCACCAAACAGTTAGTATTTCTCAAGGGGTTGCTCTTGGATGACACTTGCAGCCTGCTGCACTTCTTCTGACGTGTACACCTGCTGGATCTCCGGCGGGATGTAGAAGCCGATTGGCGCCGGCGTCTCGGAGGTTGAGGAGGACGGGGTGGGCGCCTCAGGCGGCAGCAGGGTGGACGTGGTGCTCAGGGACTCCATCGCCGGCGGGAAGAAGGTGGTCTCGGGCACGCGAGCTGGCGACTTCGGGGCCACCCCGGGCTGGCCGTTGCTGCTCGGGTAAAGGATGGGCTGAGGGATGATGGGGAAGCCGCCCTTGAGCTGCTCCTCCTGGTGCTTTAGGTACTCGGTGACCTTTGCCTGCCGCTCGTCCGGCTCCTGCGAGGCTCGGATGCAGTAGCACAGCAGCAAAATGCAGAAGACCATCAAGCACACGGCCATTATGATCAGCAGCAGCTTCCACCACGGCAGGTTCTCGTCGACCACCCCGCGTCCGTAGGTGCCGCCGCCATGGTACCCTCCTGCGCGATATTCTGCAAGAAATCATAATTGTAATTAGCTAAAATTCATTTTTGTGCCCAAACCGAAACAGATCAAGAAATAGGGAGAACTTTGTTTCTACTTTCCCAGTAAATTCCTTGAAATTAATTTAATAAAAATTTTAAATTTTTATTTATATTTTTTTGCTTGCAAAATATTGAATTTATTTGAGCACATCAATCTTCTTGCCCCGCCATTAGTCTTGAGTGAACCGAATTAATTAACAGCTTGCAAAACGTTCAAGTAAAAAAGACTTGGGAAAACACACTTTTTCCTCTGATTCAAAGTAAGCACAAGTGCCTGCGCTTGACCTCTTTAAAATTTGGCTCGGTGGCAACAAAAAGGCATTTTGCCCACCAAACTAAATTGCTCCTTTCGCAGCTCGGAAAAGGGCCGCTGGGAAATTCAGACGCGTATAAAGTCGGAGGGAAAAGTGCGGCGTTTCTCTTAACAGACTGGAAACCGCCATGCAAATTTTGAGCAATCCGCGTGACGCGTCCCACTTTTGCTGCTCTCTAATTAAACCGTACAATTGGCGGCGCTTTTTTGTCCAGCGCGAGAAGAATACGTTTGAGCTAAGCCTTATTGCGAAGTCACCCCCGCCAGACAGCATTTTAATTAAATTCCTAATCAATATTTGTGGGACGGCGAACACTCGGCAGGCGAGAGGGAGAGATAAAAAGTGAGCAGAGTTGAAAAGAGTCAAAAGAGTGGGTGGGTATGTAGTTTTCAAAGGGCCGATGCTACCAGCAGCGTGTTACGCACGGACCGGCTTCAATTTATGTGCGCTCCGCTGATAGCCAAAAACGTTTTCCACATACATCTGGTGGCTCGACTGCGGTCGTACACACGTACTGCGCGCTGTGATGGACAGATATGGAAAATGTGCGTGCATATCGAAATCTGCCTTGATGAACCCATCTGGCAACCCATTTTCCAACAACAGTATTTTGTGTTCTCCAATTTTCAGAAAACAAAACTACTCTCATTCATTATCGCGCCTTGTATTATATTTTAACTGGTTGCTTGCCGACTCTCTCACCTTTGGCATTTCGTTTTGCGGATAAAAAGATTTTAGGCCTGCGGCATGCCGTGGTGGAGATAAATTATTTCGAACGGCCGCGATTGCACAGTAGAGCGTGGACTGATTCCCCTGTTGTGGCGCTAAAGCTAACAAAGAAAACAAACAGCCCAAAAAGCTTTTCCCCCGTCGAGAGGGAGAGAGATAGTTTGAATTTTGCTACAAGCGTTCCCCTGAAAACATAATAATATGTTATGATTATAATTATGCTATGAAAATTCAAGTAACCAGCTTTTATTAATTTTTTTTTCTATTTTCCAAAAATTTAAAAACCCTATTTGTCAAATTTATTTACATTGATATGAATTGAAAATTTGCATTCTAACTTGTCTTATTCATTTTGTTAGTATAAAAAATTATCTGACTAAAATAGGGAAATAAAAATTATAATTCACATTAAACTTATGAATGCATCATGTTTGTTGATGTTAATAATCCATTATTTATTATTAATTAATTGATTAATAATAAAAATAACACATGGTATGGAGAATGGTCCTGTAATAATCGTTACAACGGGATGAAGAGGAGGCAAATAAAGAGAATTTAATTAAGACTGATTTAGACATTATTTGAATCACATTCAATTCAATTTTCGAACGGAAAAACTAAATCAATCACAAAATTAAATTTGTTTTCTAGTTTACTTTCTTTAGGATCTTCATTAGAATTTAAAATCAGTATTTTCGAAATGTTTTGGTGCAAACTTTGTCACTTTTTTCCTTTTTTATTTTAGGAAAGTAAATAATTTTTATCATCACATCAATTGATTCAACCATTTAAAAATATTTTGCACGGCGCTTCTGTATACTGAATAAACACATAATAAATAATTTATTTCACTTTACACTTTGAGCAGCAAACAAGATGTCTGGAAATGTAAATAATACAGCGCGACAGTTTTTTCACAAAGAGCGAGTGCTAAAACATAGATGAGACAAAGGCACGAACGGCGGCGGTGGCAAGAGAGAGTGAGAGAAGCCTTTGAGTTTAGTTTGCCGGCTCGACGGGAGAAAACCATCAGCAAAATCCACCTGAGGGAATTGCACTTTCCGTGTGTTATCTCTAGACTCTGCTTTCGCTCCGCACACATGCCTTGCTATATTTGTCTTTGCATTTCGCTTGGAAATTAGCTCGCTCGAGTTAATTGCGCTGCAGAGACGAATAAAGCTGTTCTGCATTTCTGCAATTGTTCCAATTCAACTTGAAAATACATTTTAGCGTTAAATTTTGTAGAAAATTAATTTGATGAACTGGAAAACCTCATTTGAAGGGTCTAAGTTCAGAAATGTGCTAATTTTCGATTTATACGAATTAATTCACAAATTACATAATTGTTTATAAAACTTTTTATCAATTTCTTTTTGAAATCTAAAAAAATTTGCACGTGCTTCAGTTCATAATGAAGAAAAGTCCTTGCAATTTGGCTCTACTCTTTCTTTAATTAAATCTTCTCAAGTGAGAAAGGGATTAGTTTTTTCGAGAATAATAATTGCATTCATCAACGCCGCGCTGCCGAAGAAAATAAGCCGCTCGGAATAAAAACGCAATTTTCCTACCCGCGAGAGAGGCTTCGCTTTGAGATAAACGCGCGTTTAATAGGATCATTAGCTTGGCATTTAGCATGGCGCACAGCACAGCGAATGCAGAATCGAGAGGGATGGAAACGCGAGCGAGAGCGACTCGCGGATTTAACGATTTCTGTGTAACGGCGGCAGAGACAACGAAGTCGCTGGTGCGGCAACGCGGTTGTTGTGCAAAAAGCGGCATCACAAAGTGCTTATTAAATTTGGAGCAATATCGGAGAGCGTAATGACGTAAGGCATTGAGAGTGGAGGCGGAAAAAGGCGAGCAGGCAGAGGAGGATGAGCGACAAAAAGGAGACGGCACAACGGCTTCGTTTCACTACCAATTACCGCGATCCCTTTAATTTAAGAGGAGGTTCAAACGAGCAGGCAGCTTAATGGATTCGCCTGTGACGAGGAAATTTAATTAATTTGAGGCGAGTCAAACCAGCCCCTTTGAAGAAAAAAAAAATAAGAAATTAAGCGTCTGATCAAGAGAAAAAAGCTTGTAAAGAGGGATGGCAAGTTGCTACCAGTATTTACGTGGAATGTAAAATCATGATAAAACTATTGGAATAGCAGTTGCATTTTCCACTCAAATGTGTATTGATTTTCAGATTTAAATAGTTCATTGCTGAGTTGAAGCTATCAAATTTCTTTAGGGTTAAATTTTCTTTCTTCCAATAATTGATAATAAAATTAATTATTTATATTTAAGGATTGAGAAAATTTTCCTTTTTTAGCTGAAAATTGACTGATCATATAAATATTAGGATTTTTCCCCATTATTATTCTTACCTCTGACTTATGTTTGCCTTTGTTTGCATTGAAGTAAACTTAAAAAAAAAAAAATGAGAAATCGAACATGAAATTTGAATTCTTTTGCAGATTGTAAATTATGCGAAATACTAAACAGCAATTTTGATTTTCTGGAGATGGTTTAAAGAAAGAAATGCTAAACAATCAAATTTTCTTGTCATTGCTTCTTCAAAGAAGGTTTATATGTCGATTTGAAAGATTTTTTTACGATTATTTGCCAAAAAACATTTCTAGTTGGAAAAGAGCTTTCCTTTGTGTATCTCCATTCACGCAGGGCCAATAAATAAGTGGATCGAGCGACACAATGAGCACATTTTTGTTATCGCTCTACACATCTGCGATAAGGAAAAACTTGCCAGGCACACAATGGAAAATATATGAGCCGCTTGGTCAATTGTTCCGCCGCATTATTTGCGGCGCCTGTTTTCGTCTTCACAACGAGAGGAATTCTATTCTGTCGTGCCGCCCTCACAAGCAATATAAGCAATGGGAAAAAAGAAAGGTCGCATTGGAATGATTTACTGTAAGTGGACTTTGCCGAGCTGATAGCGCTGCCTTTGCGCCCGTAAGGGTCAGACGCGTCGCTGGTGGTGCCGGCGATGCCTCCGACCCCTCCTCCGCCCTTGGCTTCCGCCCCTTGAATAACAATGGTCGAGAAGATGCCTGCAAAAGAAAGGGTTAATAAGATGTGATTACACGCGAGAGGTATATGTGGAGTCGCGGCTGGCGATCATGATGCCGCCGTTAAAATACATTTTTCAGCTGGCGACGAGCCAGCTGAGGCGCCGCTTGCTGTTTTGTCGCACTCGCTGCTGGGGCAACCTTTTCCGCCCGAGAGCCTTTTGTTTCAAACAATTAATTGCTCAGCAGGAAGAAAATGACTTTTCCAACTTTTTATATATATATAAAATAAAACGGATCGATGTAAATAGCTGGTTTTCGGTTTGCCGCAAGCGGAAGAAAAAAAATTGGTTTATACCAACCGGAATGGATGATGCTAGAAAAACTATTCTGCTTCCCATCCGTTGGAAAACATCCAGAATTGATATGATCGACAGCAGCTATATATCCCGTTCAATCCTCCTTTTGCTGAAGGTCTTAAAAATAAATTTGAGACTTAAATAGAGTTTGAAAAACTATCGTTATTTTATTTTTATTTTCAATCTAATGAAATGATGTTTTCATGCTAAATGTAAAATAAAAATACAAACGTTACTCATAAAATAAAAATTTGAAATGAATAAAGTAAAAAAAAAAAAAAAAAAAATTAAAAATGAGTTCTTTCATAGAAAGAGGAATTTCAAATTGAAATAATTTGTTGCAAGGAAAGGAAAGTACAAACATAAAAGAGAGACCTACAAGAAACTTTGCTGCTCGACAAAAGACATCGCGCACTAGAGACATGCAGAGACTTGCAAATAAATTATCCTAAAGAGGAATTTGAAATTTGTTATAGCTTTTTCGTTTAATGAGAATGTCTTCATTGCTTTGTGTGGAATCAAATTTGCGAAAAAAGGAAGCAAGAAAGCGTAACGGGACTGAGAAAGAGAAATCCCGTGCGTTTGCCCTCCTTCAAGAGTGTATCCGTTCGCAGTTTTCACTATATCAAAAGAGTAGCAGCTGAGAGAGAAAAATATTATATAAAAAAGTGAGCACATATTTCTGCCAGCCAAATTGGTTTTCAGGGTGCCTCTCTCTTTCTTTTATGTGGAACAGAGCGAGGGCGAAATGAAAAACAGCGCGGAAACGACGAAAGCCAGCGTGCGTTCTCTTTTTACGGCGCCCTGCGAGAACAATAAAGGCCGCCGCCGTCCCGGGGGAACATTAGGGTCGTTTTGCATTGGCGAATTCGCGTGATCATCAGATATGCAACCTGCACGACGCGTCTGTTCAGCAGGTTGCATGATGTTTCAACGTGCAGGCGCTCTCGCTACAACTCCATTACCTGTCTGACTTTATCATCCGTCTGAATTATGCACGCCCCGGGTGAGTTATGCGCCTAAGCATTAATTTTCGTCCTCTCTCGCTGCTTCCGAGCAGCGCTCGATGCCACTTGGGAAGCGTTCAACGGGCTTAATTGAAATTTAGATTCATGCAGATGGAGAGACGACGATAACACTCAAGTGAGACGCAATGTGTGTGTGTGCCACTTAGGTGATTAAGGCGTAAACGGCGCTTTTCAAAATTTCGCATACTGATTGAAAGTAACGACCTGCAAATTATTCTGTTTCAATTTTGAATAACAATTCACAAGTAAAAACAAACGCTTCATTAATATTAAAATGGATTGAAAAGATTTTGAATATTTAAAATAAATCTCTACAACTTTGAATTATTCTTGAGGCAGCTTATTTCCAGTCTCACATTATTTGAAATTTGTTTGTATTTTTGTTTCCCTGAAGACCAAATAACATCTGCTGAAGTGAAATCGCCTCAGGCCTACACGGAAAACGCGTTACGCCTGCGACCTTTTCCGACTCATTTGCATGGCGCCTCGTCGGAAAGTTTTAACACAAACGCGGAGAGCACAACAAAAATAAACAAGGCATGGTTTACAATCGTTAGAAGTTGGCAATTAGTAATCACCGCAGAGGAACAAGCTTTCTCGCGCGCGCGCGTCGGATGATTTATCGCGGTGAGAGCAATGCTGCGGGAGCGAAATTAGACAGCAGCAGTCAAGCAACACGGACTCTTTAAAAACAAACAAGCGCCAAGTTCTGCATGCAAATACCCGTTCTTCTCGCCATCGGTTTGTAACACCGCACTGGGAAAGTGTTTGCCTCAATTCTCTTCTCAAATCTATGGAAAACGAAATTAGCGTTGAAGGAAATCAGGCGGCGACGAGGCGGCTCAAGATTCGATTTGCCATCACTTTTTGACACCAAGGTGACACATTATATAGTCTCGCGGATTTGCATGAGTTTCGAGCTCCGAGAAGGAGGGAAAGATAATTTTCAGTGAAACGAGTACAAAAAAGAATAAAGAAAGAAGAGAAAGGAGAAGGGCCCGCCAGCGTTTTCGAACACAGCGAAAGGGATATGAAACGGAGGCAATTTTCATCAGCTCTCTCTCGCTCCCTTTCCCGCCTCCCTCCACCTCCTCCAGCTTCATACAAACCAAACCTCTCTTTTCATTTTGAACATTTCACCACACAATTTGCAATGTAAATGGAAATTCTGCACTGGCTGCTGCCGAGCTAATTTATTCTGCATTGAATAAATAATAATAGACGCCTCAATCGCGTCTCTATACATATCCGACGCGCGCCACTCTATATTTGTGTGTTTCTGTTTTCCGTATGGTTTTGCCTCACCTGAATTGGCCATTATACCAAGTGTCTACCTCGCTCTCTCTCCTCCCATTTCTCTCCACTCGCTTGTGTTGCAATCCGGGCATTGACATTGCGCTGCGCTACATCTCAATAAGCACTCCCTTTGTTTCGTAGAAATGACGTAAAACTCGGGTTCGTTTTGTTTTCAGTCACGCCGGGACCTTCTCTGGCACGGACCCTCTCTGAATGAAATAAAAAGTATAATTTGAATTTCCTCATTTTAGCATGGGAAAATCAGTGCAGAATAGATTTAATCTCAACAAAAGGAACGGCAAAACAATGATTTTACAGAAGAATCATTATTTATCAATCACACTAACTAAGTAAAATTGCTAAGCTCATGACATGAGGAATGGATTCGGATAATCATCAAGTTCAAGATATTAAGAAACAAAAGTTATATAGAATTAATTTGAAAGATTAACACACCTGCTGTGAAACTATGGTAGAAATTAATAAATATTTTAAATAAAAATTCAATTAGATTTTTCTCTTTAGATCTTTAATTTCCTTGTTGATTTTTTCTTTCTTGATTTTATGACAATTTTTAAATGACAATCTTTATGATTAACTTTTATACAATGAAACAAAGTTTTTGTATACCATTGCGCATAAGGTTCAACGCTATCATTATCTCCATCAGAATTGTTTATCTGGCTAAACACTTTAATTCATGTCAGTAATCACAGCTCTGTTTTAAGTGCTAAGCTTTTACCAAAATTAAACGAACCGGGCGTGGTGGCTGCGTTGCTAACCATTGAAAAGTTCAGGCCAGCTGAGCGAAATAGAGAGACACATCATTCCGCACTTGTATTTAGTAAAGTTTCCCACATAATAAATAAAGCAGGCGACAAGTTCGCAGATGCAAAACATGGCTGCCAGGCCTTGGCGCGCAGAGGGCCCTGCCAAGACTCATCAGACTGTCATTTCAAAAGGCCACACAGCCAACAGATAATGCGCGCCCTGAATAATGAATGATCGTGGAGCAGCGACGACGGCGTGCTATGAAAAAAGAAAATTGCTTTACATTTTGCCCGCGCACCAGAGCACACACACGCAGCTCTCCACTCGCAGCTGCCTGGCCATTTTCTCCGGCACACTTCTCTGCTTCTTGAATGTGTGTGACCCGACAAGAAAAAAAATGCGTCCTTGCTTGGTCTCGGCGGTAAACCTGCCCCGCTTTGTGTGTCGCAACGAGCTGCGTGGGTGGATGCACCATAGAGCAGATATAGGGAAGTGTTAAAAAAGCCTAAATTTTTGGATTTGCTTGCTATTTTAATTGATTGTATAAAGATTAAAGATTTATACTAAATTTTGTATCAAATAAAAATTAATTAAACTTTATTTTCCTTATCAAAATGGTATAGAAAAAGAAAAAAGAAATAAACTTTTTGAGAGTTATTTTATATTCTTGAATTGTTACTTTTGTTAGTGCGATTTCAGTTTAAAACACATGACCCAATTAAAAGTGATAAAATTTACCAGAAAATATACTGTAACAAGTCTTATAAAAAATTAAATATATTAAACTATTATAATGCTTTTAACTCTGCCAATATTATCAATAATGGCTAATTAATTTTTAAACAGGGTTTCTGAGCATGAGCTGCTCGCGAGCAAGATTGAGCAAAATTTTGCTCGCGAGCACCATTGAGCACTCCTTTAGTGAGCATGCTCGCGAGCAAATGCTTGCGAGCACCCCAAAAGGGAGCATGCTCGCGAGCAGATATAGGGGAGCACTCCTGAGGTGAGCAGGAGCAGGAGCAGAAATTAGGGAGCACATTTTAGAAGTGAGCAGGAGCAGGAGCAAAATTAACTAAAAATGCTCGAGATGCTCCTTCTGCTCACATTTGCTTTAAAAATTTTACTACAATAACAGAATTTCATACTAAATCTATACTGTATACTGTGAGATCAACAAAAACCAGTGGAGGACGCTTTAGAATCGCAATGCATTATCCCTATGCTCTGACGCTCCGCCTACACCCCTTTCAGCCCTGAGTTCGACCTGCTGCACCTTATGTGCTCCTGGCAAACCTTCAGTCCTCTTGTGTCTTTTCCGCTGTACATAATTTATAAAGAGCTCAATCTCCTGCTTCATATTTATGTGCTCCTGGCAACAATTCGTCTTTTTAAATAATAATGAAATTATTTTATGGAAACAATTTTATTATTTTAATTATATTAAATTTTTTATATGGTCTTAATTTGGTATCAAATTGATGTCTTTGAATTTTGCTAAATTATTTCGGCATAATAAATTTCTTTCAGAATAAATTAAAAACCTACATGCCGAATTTTCATATCAAACATGAGCATGACACTGCTTGGG